TCGGTGGCCCTGGTGACCTGTAGAGACATGGCTAGATCCACCGTCCACCCCCGGACCTGATTTTTTCATCAGCAGGGAATTGAAAAGATGCCCCTCATGAGGACTGTGCCTGTCAGCTGCATGAATCCTTCCATTCCAGGATTTTCCGAGCCTGATGGATCTGCAATGATATTTGGCTGCCTGGGGAACAACGCTGGAGGGAGCGTTCTCTGGAATCACACACACCCAGCACATTTCTGGATGCTAAACATGTTTTCAGGGAAGGCCTTGACCGAGTGCGTCATGGATTCCTGCAGCTAGGATGCCCCCGGGGGACAGAGGACCGCAGCTTCTTGCAAGGCCCGAGATCTCTGTCCTTGTCTCAGGTGAGAATTATTGTTTGGGTCTCTGCCAGCTGCTTTTTAGAGCTCCCTTTGGAAGGGTGCTATCCTTCGCAGGATCGTTGTTGAGGATCATAAAATAGACACTGACATCTGCCTGGCGCACAGCAGATTCAGCACTAGAGCTGGCTGTACTCCTTACCCTCCAGGACAGACAGACTTACAATAAGAGATTCCCCGCCTGTGTCGTAAGGCAGGTGTGCGCAGAGCCCAGGAGGAAGTGAGACTGGGATCGCAGTCCCGCCCTCAGAGGCTCGTGGCCTGAAGGGTCAGCGGGCCACATTGCCCAGAGCTCGGGGACGCAACTTCTATTGCTTTCTCGGCCCCTGGTGACTGTGTGACCATGGGCAGATCACACTCCTTCTCTGGCCTTTAATACCTTCATTGCTAGGGACGCTGTCTAATTTCTAAACTGGGATACCTGAGAGTGAAAGGGGCACTGTCATACTTGTTAGGTCCGAAGTCTAGAGACACAGGAAGCCTCATGTGCAGCAAAATGCTGTTTATTTTGGGCATCCGGGTGCAGATGGGTGGAGGCCAAAGGGCATCCACTCCGAGGGAGGGGAAAGCCTTGGGTTTTATGGAGGGTTTCTCAGCAGGGAGTGGGTACCAGGGTCAGAACAGCCACTGCAATTTTTTTTTTTTTTAAACAACCCGTTTCTGGGACCCTGCATCAGTCTCATCCTGTAGAGCAAGTGTCCTCAAACTGCGGCCCTCGGGCCACATGCAGGCCGCCTAGCACATTAATCCGGCCCTCTGGATGTTTTTGCCACCGCTGCCTGTCCTGCTTAGCAGCCGACTCGTCCAGGGCCCACAGTGCGCACTCTCCAACGGTCTGAGGGACAGTGAGCTGGCCCCCTGTTTAAAAAGTTTAAGGACCCCTGCTGTAGAGATAAGGGAGGAGGGTATAGGCATGCTGGCTGCAGCTGGCTGTTAGGTTTACAACCTCCAGGACTCTCCAGATTCCCACGGCTGTTGTTTCACAAACCTCAGTTTTCTATTAACCACATTCCGTCCCATACACACTTTTTGAATTCCCACCTGGAACAAAGCTAACAATACTTACCCTGGGGTGACAAGTATCAACTAGATGTTGCCAGGCAAACTAGACTCATCAGGTGGAGGGTGGGCCATGCTGCTGGCACTGGTACGGCCCCACCTGTTTTGTTTTTGTTTTTGACTGCTGGGTCCCTGTGGATATTGACAGCTGTAGCCCTAAGGGGCTGGGGAACTCAGCCATGCCCACCTGCCTATGCACACACCCCGGCCAGCATTCCCAGAGATGGGTGAGTGCCCAGACCTCAACTGGGGTGCCCAGGCCTCCTGGGGGTCTGCACAGAGTCCCTGTGACAGAAGGGCTATGACTCATTCCCCAGGACAAGCCTTGAGACCAGGAGTTCTCAATGAACAGCCGTGGGATTGCTTAATACCTCGTGTTTATGAATGTCTGGCCTGTGACAGTTTCACCTCCCACCCTTTCACACATGAAAAATCTGAAGTTCGGAGAAGACCAGAAAGCTGCCATGTGTTAGGCTTGCTTAGGGTGGGAACCCGGAAAGTATGTATAGGACGGAATGTGGTTAATGGAAAACTTAGCGATCATAAAGCCCGTGAAACAATAGCCGCAGGAGTCTGGAGAGTTCGGAGGTTGTAAATCTAACTGTGATCACAGGCGGTTGAGGAACCAGTTCATGTTCAGAAAAAAAAATTTTTTTTTACCCTCCCCAAACTTCCATCCAAACCTCCTATAAAACCCACTGCTCTCCCCTGTTCTCAGGTGGATGCTCTTTTGGCCTGTACCAAGGTGCTCAAAATAAACAGCATTTTGCTACACGTAAGATTTTGTGTGTTTCCCTCTGGGCTCAGAACCTAACACCAAGGTTATCTAGGGGAAGAGTGAAGAAACTCATGTTTGCTTTCCAATCTGTTAACCTTCAACAATCCTACTTCTTCTGTTGGCTAGTGTTTCTAAAGTGTGCAGATGAGGTATGCAAGATGATTTTATAGTTGGGTAAGTTTTTTTGTTTGTTTGTTTGTTTTAAAAAAAAACCTGTTTTATGTTTATTTGAACTTGACCACAATTGGCATACAAGATCTGTGATTTTGCAGATATTATCCCTAAGGTATAGATAATGTATATATTTAAGAAAAGGTCAACTTTGTCAAAATATTAAGGTAATAAGTGAACACAGCTCTCCTGAACAGGGCTAAATTTGGAATACAGGCCCTCGCTTTGATTTCTAACATTTTGGTTGTGTGGCTTTAGCTGTAGCATGGAAAGAGAAGGGTCTGAGCCTGTCACTTGAGTAGCTGTGTCCTGCTTCATGTCAGCTGTGCTATTTAGTCCACCATGATCCTTCCTGACTCCAGAAAATTCCTGACGAAGTGACTGCACAGCTCAGTCTGAAGACTGAAAACAAAAATATCTATTATAACACCATAACTCTGCTTGAATAGACTATGGATTCCGATCTGGGACCTGCCAAATCTATTATATTTATTTTGCACTGAAAGTTTTCCAATCAATCCCTTTATTAATCTGATATTGAATTATGAAATAGTAAATATTCCCACTATGCAATTTTTAATAAAAGCATACTCTTAGTTACCAAACACTTTCCCCATATGGTCTGAGTTCTGTTAGTTTTTCCTCTAAAAAATACCCACTTTTATAAATAGTAACGAGCGATCAGAATTTGTGTATATCTTCTTTAAAAGGTGTGCAAAGTCAAATGAAAGTACATGTGTCTGAGCTTTTCAAACTAGGGCACATGTAAGGGACATACGATAAACCAAGATAACCACAATGTATCTTCCTAGAGGATCTAATATATTACAATATCTAGAAGAGAGAGAATATTTTATTTCAATGAATTATAGAATTAGAATGCACAATTTATATCAGCATTTATGATAAAACACAAGATTAAACCATTTCAATGACATGATTGACATTTGTGAAGTTTTTGTTAGCAAACAGCATTGTGAAAATGCAAAGCTGTACTCAAATTGTCATTACCACTATCAAGTTTCAGAATCCCGAGGTCTTCAGGAAGCCAAATGGGGCCTCGGGATTTATCCGCAGAGTTCCATTTCCTCAAGCCTTTCATTTAAGTGGTGAAATAATTGTGTAAACTGAGGAAGGTGTGTTTAATAATGGTGTATGAATTCTCCCAAAGAAAGCATATTCTTTGAAATCTTCTGGAAAAGCCATTCTAGAATCCAAAGCCTCAGCTCAAAAGGCAGAATTGAGTGCTAATGATAGCCTCATGAAAGAAAATTTTCAGATAGGGGCTATAAAGTCTCCTTAAATCAAATAACAAAGAAGCTCTTATGGATGGCTGGGCCTAATTACTATAACCAGTGCTTCCTGTGACCTTTCTTTAGCTCTGATTTTCTACTGCTTCTGTATTACTTTAGTTTGATAAAATATTCCAAGTGTCCTGCTTACTGCTATATCATCTACTTTAAAGGTATTTTAGTACTTCATCGAATTATGCCAATATTAATAATACAGGTTTTCTTCTATGAACAAAGCCAACATCTATTTAATATTATCAGCAAAGTGCTAACAAGCCTGGGGCAAAGAAATTACAATTCCTTTCCCAGTTTTTACTATATCCACCCTAAGATGTCTTAAACATGCCCGCATACCTCACAATGCCTACCAGTGGATGGTCAGTAAATGCTTTTAAATTACATGAACCCTTCAGTTTTCATTGAAATAAATCATTATTGTGTTTCAGCTGAAACTAATTACCCGTATCTCTTTTATCTCACTTCCCTAGAAGGGTTTTCCTAATGCAGCAACCTCACTTTGAGTAACACGCTGGATCTGATTGGCATACTTCTGAAACGCCGTCTGAGCGAGGCCCTGTTCTAAGCCTGTGTTATTTCAAACCCATATGCTAACTCGTTTATTCCTCACAAAAACTCTCTGAAGCAGGTATCATTCCTAATTTACAGAGGGAGGTTAAGTAACTTGCCCACGGTCACACAGCAGCTGGGCTCTTTTATACTGCCCCTTCCATGTTCTACTTAATGTTAATTCACTGTTCATGTGCAGGTTCTACAAATTACATGAATGCTTATATTCTATTAGTTTTCACAGAAAGCAAATGACATACTCTGTAAGCTTTAAAGTGTTACGTAAATGTTACATAGCTTACTAAAGAGAAAAACTGCTGACATCAATAAACAATCAAAATGACAGATAATAAACTTGAATCCTCACTTCCTCTAATTGCAAGGGTTTGGGAAGTGAAAGAAATATACTTTCCTGGAAAAGGAATGGCATTCTTTCCACACTATGAAGGAACTCGTTCAATTGTCAGATGAATAAAAGCGAAGGGCACACACTTTCTCCGGGGACATTTTAACCTTATTTCTCTTCCCTTGCTATACTCAGAAATGACCCATCTGAATTGCTGATTGCCTAAATACTGTTAGGACTGAAATGCCATATTTAAGGCTTGAGACTATTTCTTTTCAGTTCTCTGCAGTCACAGTGAAATACTTTAAACACAATCTTTGCTGAGCTCTTTTAAGACTTCCAGTAGTGGAAAAGTTGTGGAAATAGAAACTTACCCCCAACATTATTTCAATTTGGAAACTGAAGTTAAGAGAAAGTCATAAAAATTCAATTTAAGTAAGATTTATTGAGTGCCTATAGTGCACATGGCCCTTTATTAGACATATTAAAATTCAGGCACAAAACAGACACAAGATCCCTGACTTCAGGTACCTTATGATCTAATTAGTATAATACAGATTAGAAACACAAGACAGACCAATTACATGTCAATGCTCAATGACTAGAGTGAACATTAAAGAGCTGTAATTTAAGTAATCCAAAATGGCATCTAATCCTAAAATCATTTATAAAATGTATTTGGCCTTGGAATCCATAGGACTTCAATTAAGTTTCACTGCAGATACAATCACAAAGATGCAAATACACTGAAACACTTAGGAGCCCTATCAATGACTTTTGTAACTTTGGATCTTCTGTTTTCTTCTTATTATGGTCCGAAGCCTCCTTAATACCAATTTATCTGACAAAAGCATGTCATCTTGTTGTTCTAGATAATCCAGTAAATTTTCAGTCCATTCAAGTGCAGCTTTATGGCTAATATGCTTCTCTGGATTCAGTTCTGTTTTTCTAGTCTTATTGGAAGGCTTTTGCTCAGCAGCCTTGGCCTGGCCCCCAGCATTCTCATTGTCTGGCAGCACCTGACAGCTTGAGTCATTACTTCGAGAGTCAAACCACTGATCAATATTCTCAATGTCAACGTGTTCACATTCTTCTGTATTCTGTAAAACTGTTGCTAAGTTAGCTGCTAAAATGGCTCCTTCATCAATGTTCATGCCTGAATTCTCTTCAATGCCAGGGAAAAGTTTTTTCCAAGCTTTGGTTATGGTACTGGATTTTACCATGTTCCAAGCTCTTGATACTTCATAAACTGCATCCAACACTGTCAAGTTCTTCCAAAACATTTTTGGGTCTATTCCTTCATCCATGTATTTCTGGAGAAGTCCTGCTCGGTAGTATCTTTTTACAGTGGCTAGAACTCCCTGGCTCATAGGTTGAATTAAACTTGTGACATTTGGTGGCAAATATTTCACAATTATTCTGCCATCATCTGAACTCAGCAATTCTTCATTTGGATGTACTGGTGGGAAATCTAAAAGCAGCACTGCTTTTTCTAGAAGCCCCTTGGATTTCAAATGCTTCTGTACCTGTGGCACAAAGTATTTTTCAAACCACTGTCTGAAAACAGATTGTTCTATCCATGCACTTTTTTGACTGAAATAAGTGACAGGAAGGTTTGAAAGGTCAGTTTCTTTGAATGCACGGGGTTTTTTTGCCTTCCCCACAACACAAAGATTAAGTTTGTGCAAACCTGTGGCATTTGCACAGCACATAATAATGATTCTCTCTCTGCTTGACTTATACCCTGAAGTACTTTGCTCAGTTTCAAGAGCTAATGTCCTTGATGGTAGACATTTCCAGAACAATCCAGTTTGATCAGCACCATAAATTTGCTCTGGTTGTAGATTCTCTCTCTCAACAAATTCCTGAAAGTTCCCACAAAATTCACTGGCAGCAGTTTCATCTCCTTTTAACTTTGTTCCTTTACCAGCAGCCTTTGGAATACCATGGCGCCGCTTAAATCGAGTTAGCCAGCCAGATGATGCATTAAAATCGCCTTCCATCCCCAAAGCATCAAAAAAGAACTTGGCTTGTTTTGCACAAATTGTTCCAGACACTGGAATCCCATTTGTTTTCTGTTGGTTAAACCACTCTATCATCACTCTATCCAGTTCCTCATATGTTGATGACTTCATAGATTTACGTTTGGATACCCCACTAGTAGGATCTGAACTGTTTGCATAGTTTATAATCCTTTCTTTGTTCTTTTTAATATCACGAACGGTGGATTCACCAATTCCATACACCACAGAGAGTTTTTTGAAAGAGATGCCTTCCTCGAGTTTCTTAATAATGTCAAGCTTCTCCTTAATTGTCAACACCACGCGCTTACGTTTCCCCAACATTTTAAGTGTATAATGTTTTAGACAGTTACAAGATAATTAACAACTTAGATTTGAACACAAAGGGAATAGAAAAAGAGGTCTTAAGACTTTCTTCCTCTCACTCCTAGGACCTAGATGGATAGGGTGATGGGCAATTTCCAGACAAGGTCGACATGAATCCTTCCATGTCGTGCTGTTTTAAAACTTACAAAGTTCCTACAATAAACCCTATCTCTAATTAACCTTATCTTCTTTCTTCCTCCTTACTTAAAGGTCTTTTCACGAACTGCAACCTCACTGGAGGTTAGGATTTGAATCAACACTCTACTAGCAAGATCTCCGAAACAGTACTATTGCACGCTCAATTCTGGCCATCATTGCAGGTAAGGTTCTTTGATCAAGCCACTAGGACTCAGGGAAGTAGTTTGGGAAATGTGCTAGGGAATAAATAGTTTAAGTCAAGAGAGGACTTGCAAGCTTGACACACAGGAAAATAAAATGGGAAAGCTCACCCGCTGACTATGGGATCTTTGTCAAGCTGGATTGAGTGGAATGCGGTCTCTCTGGGCAAGGGCTGCTACATGTTGCGCAAATGAGTGCTTGTGGAAATCACAGGCAGGCAAGGCAAGGTGAGCCGGACAGAAGCGAGCGGTGCCACCAAGGTGAAAGTGGACACAGGCAGAAAACTCTGAACTGTAAGGCGACTTATACCTAATGGATTTGGCAACTGCCAAGGAGGAAGGTGGACAAGAGGCGATGTCACATTGCTAAGGAAAGCATCGGGAAACTTCACGGGTGGAAATTAAGACCCAACGCAGAGAGGCTATGGGGTAGAAGGCTCCGTGAAGACGATGTCACAGTAATCCTGGTGAAAGACGATCCTCGATGGGCCAACAGAAGTAGCTCCTGTGGGGGCCGTATAGATACTCGGAGCCTCCGAAACCTAAAGGAAAATACCAAAAAACATTTTTTTGTTTTTTCAAGTCAGTATCGGGATCTGTGGCAGGACCCACATCTCTCCTGCAAACTATGCTGAGAAAATTATCGCCTCCTATTCATGTGCTAGGCAGCTAAACACGACAATAACGCTTCCGGGCGTCATCTGGGGCGACAGAGGGACCTGAGGAGCCTACCTCCCGAAATTAAGAGGTCAGAGAGAAGCTGTGTTAGCGAGGCCTCTCCCCGCCGGGCGAGCTCCGGAGCGCGGGACGTCTTTCCTCCCGCGGAGGGAGCCCGGATGCCGCCGAGGACGCCGGCGACCAGGGTGTCACCGCCGCAGCCGGCGAGCGAGCGAGCGGTCGCTCGGCGCCAGGACCGCCAGTCCGCCGGCCGGGGGCATCGCTCTCCGCCCGCCTGCACGGCGGCCAGACCGCACCAAGGGCAAATGGAGTCTCCCCCCTGAGAGCTACACGGGTCGGCCGCGCCGCGCGCGGCGGCGGCGGCGGCAGCGGCGGCAGCGCGACGGGCGCCGGAGCCGGAAGGCGGGGGATTAGAGAGCACGCGCGCGCCCCCGCAGGAACGTTGTCCCGCTGGAGCGGGGCCTACGGGCGGCGGCGCGCGGCGGCGGGCCTGCGGCGGGCGGCGGCGGCGAGCGGGGCGGGCTGCGGCGCGCGGCTGCCCGGCGGCCCTGCCGGCTCGGCGGCCTGTTGGACGGCCGTGTGGGTTCGCTAGGTAAGCCGGGGAAGGCTTCGGCCGCCCCGCCTCAACCGCCGGGCAGGGAGGCGATATAACTCGGCCTTTCTGGATTTTGTTTTTTTTTGTTTTTTTTTTACCCCGGGCGGGCTCTTGCGGCCGAGCGCTCCCTTCTTCTCCCTCCAAGAGAGTGAAAGTCGGCACCCTGCTGAGGTGGTCCGGCGAAGAGCCGCGCGTCGACGGAGCCGAGCGGCTGTGCGGAAGATGGGCAGGTGGCATGGACGTGGATCGTGTTTGTAAAACGAGAGCCCGCCGCGCCCTTCCCGCGCCTCTCCGGGAGCGCGCGCGCCCGACCGGGCCCGGACCGAGGGCCGGAGCGAGCATCATAGCGTTACGCGCCCGTCCCGCCCGATCGTGGCTGTGGCTCCCGCGGCTGCGACCGCGCCCGCTGATGTCACCGACGCGGCGGGCGCGCGGCGCGGACGGGCGGGGTGTCAGGGCTGCGCTCCGCGAGCCGACAGCTCAGACCTTCCCTTCAGGGCGCTGCGGTGCGGAGAGTCTCGGGGCAGGTGGGAGCCCGACAGCACCGGGGAGGGCCGCGCGAGCCTTGCGGCCCCCGTCTGCGTAATTCTGCTTCCTCGGCCGCGCGGTTGAGGAGGGTGCGCGTGTGGAACAAAAGGGCCCTGCGTTGGTCCCCAGCCGCAGGGGTGCCCGGAACCTCCTCCGGGCGGACGGCCGCACTGCGTCCCGCCGCCACCTATCACCGAGAGGTTCGCGCCGCGGCGGCGGAGGAATGACACTGTGTTTTTTTAAAAAGGAAAGGGAAGTCGTCCAGTCAAGCTGTGGGTGTGGTTCTAGCCTTCGCCGTTACACTCAGAGGAAGCACGTAGTGATGAGTAGCGTACTCGACGTGCGTGCGTGTGCGCCAGACGTTCTAGGAACACGGACGGAGAGTCGAGAGGCTGGGAGCGCGCTGCAGGGAGAGGCGTGCGATGCAAGGACTTCTCTTCCTCTCCCGCGCAAGAACTGCCGCCTGCGCTCTGAAGCGCCTTCACCCCGCCACGCAGAAATCATTGAGAAATTGGTTGTCAGGAGTCTAAGAAGTGCTTTTCGGGCGGTGAGCCTGCGTCCCCAAAAGGTGGGACCTTCCCGCTCCTCCCTTACCCCTCTCCCCAGCCGTAGGTCCCATTAAGCCGGACCGTGGCCTGTTGCGTCCTTGTGAGCTGTTTTCGGGTAGAGCTTGCAGCTGTCGTGATTTATGAGCGCACTCTAAAGTTTTCCTCTTTCGCTGATATTTGGAAGCGTGAACCTCGCGTTCTGGATGGGAGAGCCCTGACTTTCAGGTGGTGTCCCTGGTGAGATGAGGCAGCTCGTAGCAATGTGCCTAAGCTGCCTTGCGTTCCCCCCTTCCGCCTGCCAGGGTCCTCTGTCCCCTGGTACTGTAAATAAAAATCCTGTGCTTATTCCTTCCCGTAGGGGTCTAAGGGGATAATTTTTTCTCTTAGCTGCTATGCTCGCCAAGGTGTTCTCTGTTATTTTCTTGAATTCCCACCTGTTGGGTCTTTATGGTCCTAAACAATGCTGTTTTTTTCATTCACCTTGCAATACGTTTCAAATCTGAGATGCCGTCACATGTGGTCTTCTCAAAAGGCCGACTTTGACTCAAGGCAAATTGTATTGCAGCCAAAGACTTTACTCAAGTCCACTTGTGGTCTTCAACACAAAAGAGTTCATTGGTAACTTTTTCCTTTTTTTTTTTGTGCTACAGGAGGTTATAAGATTGTTGCAGAAGTAGGGGGGCGTGGAGGACTTAGAATGTTAAGGAGTAATTCTTAGGGGGGTGAAACTGCTCTGCTGATGAACTTCGTGGGTGTTGTGGACAATCGCCTTATGACATTTGTCAAATGCACAGAATTGAAAATGTAACAAGCAACCAAGAGAATCTAATGTAAATTGTGAATCTGGGATATGACATTTCAATGTAGGCTTCAGTCATGTAGGAGCGAAATGTACTAAGTTGGATGTTGCCAAGATGGCTATAGGCTATTGTGTGGTGGAGAGCAGTATGTGGGGAAAGCTGATCTTCCAACTCAATTTTATGCTGTGAACCTGAAACTGCCTCTGAAAAAATAGTCGTTTTGTAAAAAAAAAAAAAAAAGATAAAGCAAAAAAATTAAGAGCTGTTGGGCTCTAAGAGACACACTCTGTCTTCTCGCTGCTATAATCTCAAACAGAACGCTTCTGTGCAGATGGTCAGTCCCCAACCCGCGTCACCAAGCAAGTTCTCCAGTTGGATAGCCAGAGCTGAGTCCAATTCAGTTTCTGACTCCTATCTACCGCCTGGGACAGTGTGCAGATCCCACAGTTAAGGCCAGTCCATAGACTGCCCTCCCCTGGATGCCACTCTTAAGTAGGAATGCATCTGTGACTTCTGACTGGCCTAGCATTCAATTGGGGTTCCACGACCCACACGTTGGGTTCTGCTAATTGCTAGGATGGCTCACAGAGCTCAGGAAAAACACTTCTTCCAGTTTAACTGGTTATATTATGGATATAAACTCCAGAGACGGCCAGGAGAGAGATGCCATAGGCAAGCTGTGGGGTTGGAAGGCTGGGCTTCCGTGCCCTCTGGGCTTTGCCACTGCCCCTAGCTCTTGGATGTGTTCAACACAGAAGCTCATCAAATGTTGTTGGGCAGGAGAATTTTTGATGCCGGCATGGTGCTCCACACCTGAATCCTAAGCACTCTGGAAGAGGCAGTTCAAGAGTCACTCGAGGTCAGGTTCGAGACCAGCCTGAGCAAGAGTGAGACCCTGTCTCTACTAAAAAAAAAAAAAGAAAGAAATTAATTGGCCAACTAAAAATATACAGAAAAAAATTAGCCAGGCATGGTGGCACGTGCCTGTAGTCCCCAGCTACTCGGGAGGCTGAGGCAGAAGGATAGCTTGAGCCCAGGAGTTTGAGGTTGCTGTGAGCTAGGCTGATGCCACGGCACTCTAGCCCAGGCAACAGAGTGAGATTCTGTCTAAAAAAAAATTTTTTTTTTTTTATGGAGCCTAATTTCCAGTCCACTCCCCTTTCCAGGTGAGAGGGTAGGCCAGAAAGTTCCATCCTTCTAACTGCTTGGTCTTTCCAGTGACCAGCCCCACGCTCAGGCTATCTAGGGACCTCACCCTAAGTCATCTCATTAGCAGAAACTCAGGTATAATCCAAAGGGGCTCATTATGAGTAACAAAGACACTCTAACATTCAGGATAGTCCGAGGGTTTTAGGAGCTCTGTGGCAAGAACTGGGGACAAAGACCAAACATAGTTCATGTGATACCTCAGCATCCTTGTTGAAAGCCTGTTTGGCCACAGGAAACTTCTTGTTCTTTTTGAGTCACAGCCTCCCTCCATTTGCCTATGCCTTCCTCTCTTTTGTCTCCCCAACATTTTTCTATCTCAGGGTCCCCTCTCTCCTCTCTCCCTCCCTCCAGCTGCTTGGGAAAAGTTAAGCTTTTTTTTTTTTTATATACTTTATTACGCAATTTTAAAATTTTACTTTATTATGCAATTCTTTATTTTTCTAACTGCACTTCCCATTCACTGTGGTTTTATTCTCTAATCAAAAGACATTTCATTCCTCAGAGACTTCTGTCACCAGTATTTCTTTCCTTCTACACATGTGTAACTCTCTTAATCCTTGTAACAGTACTATAAGGTAGATGTTACCTGTTTTATATGCAAGAAAACAAAGACAAAAAAAAAAAAAAAAAGCCTGTGACTCCACCAAATACAGGTGGCCAAAGAGGGATTTGAGCCCAGGTCCATCTAGCTTTAAGGCTTCATGCTCTGCCCACACTGTTGCAACAGAAGTATTTGACTCAAAGACATGAAAAAGTGTACTTTGATTATTTATTCCTTCATAATTAATGTTGTCATTTACTAAAATTTAACATTAACCTACCAAAAAGGCATTCTAGTCATGAAACACTTTAAGTCTGCAACAATGTTCATTTGGCTCATTGAAGTGCGAGAGTTTTCTGAAAATGTTTGCACAAAACCATTTACTGTCACCTACTTTAAGGGATATAAAATATCGAGGGGAATTTTCCAGCTAAGATACCATTTATTTTTCTTTGAAGTGTGTGTACATGTGTGTGTTTTAGGGAAAACAGGATGTGAAACAGTTCTCATCAGTAAAATGAAAGCTTTTTCTTTGAAGTCTCTTTCATCTCTAAAATTATTTTACTTTGTATTATAGACATGAGCCCCAATTATTCATTTTT